GGGTCAGGACACCTGTCCCTCAGAGTAGAGCCGCTGCTCCTCACCATCGAGCTGACGTGGAGCCAGCTGACGTGGCTTGAGCTGACGTGGCTTGGCATTGCATGCCTGCAAGTCTGAACTCACATACTGTACATTAGTATCTATGTGACTCAAATACGCTAATAAGTAACTAGTTCCCAAACTAGTTGGCCTTACTAACTTTGTTTTAACACCGCAATTCATGGGAGATGGCGACGTAACCGCGAAAACGCCACAGGTCGATGACGTCGCAAAACCCAGGGTGCCTGTAATGTGCAGTACACACAGCGTTCTACATAGACTGCACACCCACTCTGTTGTGTACTCTATACCAGAGGTGGGACCAAGTCATTGCTTTGCAAGTCATAAGTAAGTCTCAAGTCCTTGCACTCAAGTCCGAGTCAAGTCTCAAGTCAAGACAGGTAAAGTCCGAGTCGAGTCCAAGTCAAGACTAAAAAGTGTCAAGTCATGTCCCAAGTCCTTACGTTTCTGTTTTAAACAAAATAATAATATATTTACACAGATCACTTTGGGTTTTGGAGAAAGTATCAAGTCCAAGTCGAGTTGCAAGTCTCCTTACATTTTGTCAAGTCGAGTCTAAAGTCATCAAATTGATGACTCGAGTCTGACTCGAGTCCAAGTCATGTGACTCGAGTCCACACCCGTACTCTATACCTTCACACACAACATCTACACTGTCTAGTTTACACACAACAGGATCCATAGCGGCTCCTGTTCAGCCAGTACCAGATCCTCGTCTTCTTCTGCGTCTTGTGTGGCCGAAAACAGCTGCCGTTGCTTCTCGGCCAGCAGCTCGGCCGGCGTGGTCTCCGGAACGTCCTGCAGGGTGCTCTGCTTGTCGACGTACATACTTCGCTTCACATCACGGCTGATGTCTTCAATCACATCCACCGCATTTTCTGGCTGCTCATCCATCACCTTCATCAGCACATGGGTGAGGTGATCGTAGCTGGAGGTAGGAAAAGCAAAAACGAAATGTTCCGAAACGACTCCAAATCACATGTTAAGGACATTTTGTTGATGTTTTTGGAAATAGTAAAATCCCCTCTGAAACCACTGGTGCACAAATAGTTCAAATGTGGGAAAAGGGCCAACGACAGAGTACAAAGTAAGGAGAACGACATCAGACACTTTTTACAATAAGGACAACATTAGTATCAGATGTATTGGTGTCAATATGCTGTTTCCATCAACAGGCACCAGAGAGGAAAACCTGAAAATCTCTGTTATTTTCATCTGACAGAACTTGTCCTGGATGTACTCACAGGTTCAGGTTGCTTTTCGTGCTGTTCTTCAGCAGAAAAGCTTTGAGCGCAGCAGCGGACTGCAACAGCTCCGCCTCTTTGTTTTCTTCCATTGTTTACTTCTGTTTCTTCTACACTTGTCTCAGTAATGGAAGCTTAATGTAACTGTAATGGAGAAGCTCAGCTGGATGACCCTCTCCTCTTTGATGTCCAACAGGAGACGTCATGTATACATGTCCCCTCCTCCGACTCCTTTCCCTTCTCTCTCTTTGCATTTCTAGGCTGTTCCAATCAGCAAAGTGATGCATAAAAGGCAGCTCAAAGTGTACGTTTAATACCACCGATGCTTCCTTTCATGTTGTTCAAACCTGTAGAAATTCTGCCATTCTGTCACTTTTTGCTTGATTATAGAGCTGCAGAGCACCATGGACCAGCATTTCCTCCTGTGGAGACGTTCAAAAAGGTTAAAAGCTTTAGCTTGAAAGCTAAAATTATCAAGTCGATTATAAAGGTTGCTGTGGTAACTGTGTTTTCTTTGTGTTGGGATCCATTTGGAGTCCATTTATCATCGTTAGAAGAGAAGTCACATAAAATCAACTGAGTGCAGTTCCCCTCTGCGCTCCGTCACTCTTATGTAAACAGAGGAGCAGCCCTGAATTTCCAGAATTACCATTCTGACCAATACACTGTTTTTTTTCTGTCCATTAAATATGAATCTTCCCAATACTTCATAACACATCTGCGCAAAGTGGCCACAGTAGGTACTACCGTGGGGCATCCTGCATATGGACCACCTCCCTTTAGGGCAGTCTGCAACCTTGGGTTTGGGACAAACTATTATTTCACTTTCATGAATATAAATGAAAATAAAATGCAGCATATAAAAATCTATGAGTTTATGCATGATCTTGATTAACAGCTGCAAATACCTGATTGCACGAGTGATAGCTACTAAAATGTCTCTGGGGTCAAGTGAACCCTGATAGGCAGAAAACGCCATCACAGAGATAAATCATTTGGTATGGATATGGCAGCAGTCTGATTATAATGTAATTACCAAAATAAAGACAAATAAAGACGTCATGACAGGCAGCAGCAGAGGATTAAATGTGTAAATCGATATGTTCCCCTACTTTGAAATAACAAGTTAGTCCCGCAAAATTCACACCATAATACATTTTTTCATACATTTCTGTAGAGCTCCTGTTATAAATCATAATAGAAGCATGTAAAATAAACAAGATATTAAAGTAAGGAAATATTCTGTACCTGTATTGATTGCTGCATTAACAGAAAGCCATTTTCTCGGGAGTCAATTGAGCCTGCCTGGGCTGTATTGAGCTTTCACCAGACCTCGATTGATACCACCAAGGAGGGAGGATCCAGAAGCAGACAACTGAGAGAACGAAGGTATGTAAAAAAAATAATATTTTTCACAGATAAATGTTCAAAACATCTCTGGGAGAGTTCAGGATACAGTGCGCTGACTTCACGTTGTGGTGAATCTTCAGCTGGTGCGATGTGCTCTAGTCACAAGTGGCAGTGATGGCAAAATCCCTGGTGAAAAAACTCCAAAAAGTACAAAACTTAAGGCAGGGGGCAAGAATAAAAAAAAAACTAAGGCAAAAGACAATGAAAAGGAATTTCTTTAAAGCATGCGAAGATCCAGCAAGTTAGCCAAACGACAGGGAAGTTACCAATAGCAGGGCAAGATGATTTGGCACTGAATCCATGTAAGGCTGGAGCTTAAATACTTTGTAGATATAACAAACAGACAACAGCAGCAAAAAACAACCCAGGACAGAGAAAAACACAAACACCACAAAAGGTATCACAAAGTTAATAATGTTGGAATTCTAACAAATAACAACTAACTGACAGATGCTGAGGGCACAGCTGTTGACGGTGTTGAAGCCTGAGTGAATGTACAACGTTGCTTTTTATGACCTTCGCTTTTCCTCTCAAATACTACCATGGATGTTGTTTTTAAAGCAAACACAGTAATGATCGTTTCTTGAAGCAACATTCACCACGATATGAGAAAGGTTGAGATGTGTCCCAAGTTATCCAGGATATGCTTTTTTAGTGTCCTATTGTCATGAACATAAGAACCTTCCTCTAAACTAGAGAATAGTTAGGAGTGAGACTAATCCCTCCGGTATGGAGCCAGCAACAGGAACACAGGGAGGCTATTCTTTATGACGAAGTTTATCTCCTGTAAGTGTTGGTTTGTCCTGTCTCTTGTACCACTGTGGAGGAACCAGAATAACAAGACAGGCAGAAAGATACATTAGTAAACAGTGTTCTCCTGATGTATCTACAAAAAGTCATTTTTTTCACTGACTTTTGAGAACCTGAGAGTATGTGTTTTCTTATCTGTACGAACCACTGTATGAGTTGCTGGAACCAACATTCTGCATACAATCCCTTGATTATCAAAATATATTAATGCAATGAGCTGCGATGTCGTCTGCAACAACTTAAAAACGATTTCTAGTTTTCTTTGTGTGCATGATATTTAACAATATTGCTTATATTTTAGCTTGTCAGAAGGGATGAAAAGTGCAGAACATTTGCGTTTACTTTTCTTGAACATATTGTCTATACTGAAGAAAGAATAAAGACACTAAACTAAAGGTCGAGTGCCGATGACACCTCACCGTGCGGGGGCGCTGTATAGGCTGGATACAGCTATCACCTGTATCCAGCCTAATATGTATCTATAGCCTACTGGTGTTAATGCTAATGTGTTAATAGTTTACTCTTCCTTTGCTGAAGATTAATTCTCAGTCTGTCTGCTATAATAAATCATGTAACATTTTATTACCTTCTTTTGTGTCTTGGCAAACAAATCATAGACAGTTGAATAAGCAACACTGTCACATCTATATTCGTTTAGTGCCAATATGTATTCCCATTATATTTAAGTGCTATTTTTATCCCAAGACTAAATGAAAATGCTGGCAGAAAACAGAACCATCTTCCCAAAACCAAAGAAAAGAATGTCTGTCTGTCTGTCTGTCTATCTATCTATCTATCTATATATATATGTATATATATATGTACTGTATATATATATATATAGTCATTTTTAAAATTATGTAAGCGACCTGTCTTTCCTTTCAAGCAATAAATCTGCTGTGCGTCATTTTGTGTGTGTTAAGGTGTAGGCCGGTCAGAAAATGAGCACAGTTCCAGTCACCAATCCCGTGTTCTGTGGCTCCCTTTAGTGGTTTTTAAGGTATGGTACGCTGGTTAATCTTGTGTTTGCTCACTTTGCTGCGGATAACCCACGCCCATGCCCTCCACGATGGCACCAATCTGAAAACAAGACATGTGCATCCCTCTTGTGTTAGCCCAGCGTCCAGGTTCTGGTCCTGATGCTAGTGAGAGTAAAAGTCTAACAATTGAAGACAGGTCTTTTTTTGGAGTTGTGGGGAACTTGGTAAGCCTGTAAACAGCAAGTAAAAGCAACTTTGGAATGATTTGTGTCTTGTGACTCTGATACTAGTTTTAACTGGTTTAACTGGTTTGGCCCTAAACTTCCTTCCATTGGGTATTCCATGTGTGTCACCCAACATAAATACATGTTACATGATACATGATGTTTTTTATCATCATTACGTTGCTAAATGGATTGTCACTCTTAAGATGACTCTTCTCTAGTTTTACTAAACCTCTTTAACACAAACAGACACACACATATGTGCCATAGAATTGAATTTCGTCATGTTGATTCATAAAGCATCTGTGACGCAAAAAGGTTGTTGACCCTGTTGTACTGTGTTACAATGTAATGAACTACTGTAAGTAATTAGAAAAGAAGCGGGTGAAAAGAAATAGGTAGATAGAAAAGTCCCAAGTAATGGTTGAAAAAAATAGGTAGATAGAAAAGTCCCAAGTATAAAATGTACAGATGAACAATAAAAAATATATGTATATATAAGCACTATTGAAAGTAGTGCCAGAAAATACAATGGTATGTATTGTTGTATGTTGTGAACAGTTTGGGTACATTGGACAATAAGGGCGCAGTGGATAGTGAATGGGGTCTCAAATTCATTTTGGTAGATTAAATGTCAAGTAGGCCAGACCAGTAAAATTATAACATAATTACTAGGGATGTCCAATAATACTCACACTCACTGCCACTCGTTTTTTGTTGACCATATCGTAGTTTTTAAATCCGAACAACACGATCTTTGGTAACATCTTAAAATATTGTAATTCCCCGGACCAGTCAGATGCCACAATGCTCTGAAGAACTTTAACTGAAACAAAATAGCAGTAACTCTTACTTTTATTCAGCTCAACCCAGCTTCTCCAAAAAACGCCTTTTCCTCCTTTCTCACTCTCCGCACTCTCCGCACTCTCTAGTCATCACACAGCAGAGTTATAACCAGAGGTGGGGCCAAGTCATTGCTTTGCAAGTCACAAGCAAGTCTCAAGTCTTTGCACTCAAGTCCGAATCAAGTCTCAAGTCAAAATAGGCAAAGTCCAAGTCGAATCCAAGTCAAGACTGAAAAGTGTCAAGTAAAGTCCCAAGTCCTGCCGTTTCTGTTTCGAGTCCTTTCGAGTCCTTCCACTCACTGCCACTCGTTTTTTGTTGACCCTAAGTCACAAGCAAGTCTCAAGTCTTTGCACTCAAGTCCGAGTCAAGTCTCAAGTCAAGACGGGCAAAGTCCGAGTCGAGTCCAAGTCAAGTCTGACAAGTGTCAAGTCAAGTCCCAAGTCCTTACGTTTCTGTTTCGAGTCCTTTTAAACAAAATAATAATATATGTACACAGATACACTTAGGGTTTTGGATAAAGTATCAAGTCTTGTCGAGTCAAAGGGCTCGAGTCCAAGTGAATTCACGAGTCATTGATGTTAAAGTCCAAGTCGAGTTCCAAGTCTCTTTACATTTTGTCAAGTCGAGTCTAAAGTCATCAAACTGATGACTCGAGTCTGACTCGAGTCCAAGTCATGAGACTCGAGTCCACACCTCTGGTCATAACACCAGCTCTTAGGTCACTGCACTGGTTACCAGTTAAAACAAGAATTGTCTTTAAAGTCCTTCTCTTGGTCTATAAAGCTTTACATGGACTTGCTCCCCAATATTTAGTTAACATGCTGACAAACTGCACCCCATCAAAACCTCTCAGATCAGCCAGCAGCTCTCGTCTTGTCATCCCCCGCTGCAATACTAGGCAAGGGGAGGCAGCATTCTGCATCTTTTTCCCCCACGCCTATGGAACAACCTGCCTGACACCATAAAACTGTCAACATCAGTGGCCATGTTTAAAAACAGGTTAAAAACCTTTCTTTTTACTATTGCGTTTAACCTTCTATTCATATATATAAATATTGTTTTTTTGTTGTTTTGTTTCTACTTGTTTTAATTACCCACGCCGAATGCACTGGGTTAACATGTTGGCCCGGGGGTTGTCTTGGGTGAGGATCCCCTCTTCCTTCCTTTTTTTTTTTTACCCTACTAAGGGTTTTTCTTGGAAGTTGTTCCTCAGCCGATGTGAGGATCCATAAGGGCAGGGGAAGCTTATCACTGTTACCACTTCTTTCTTTCTTTTTGTTTCTTGCTCTCTTGATATTTTAATGGCTTAAACCACACTGAGTTTGCCTTGTGTATGAAATGTGCTCTATAAATAAAATAAAATGGAATTGAATTGAATAGTCCTCATACACACTCTCACCACACCTCCTCACTCCCTCTCCCAAACCTGTTACTGTTCAATGCTAAACAAGCCTCCAGTCACTAGATGGCAGCATTGCAGCTCATTTTATTAATCTATTTTGTCAATCAAGTTCATCTATGCATTAACATTTATGCAACGTTATCTATAAATAACTACAAGTCTATGT